GGCTATGGGCAAGCAGTCAGCAGATGCAGACAAAAGGGTTTGTGACAAGAATAACTCTCTCTCTCCAAGGCGAGCAGTCAAGAGTATCCAAAATACCAATACCCTTTTCTCCTTGACATTGTCTTCTCCTTACAGTCAGCATTTTACTGCCCTTTTATAGTAAAAACAGCACGAGAAATTCCTTGTAGGAATATTCTTAGCAATGCAGTACCCTGCACCATTTAATCCAGGCATTATTTTTAGTTACAGCACAAGGAATTGGATTTTCAATATTAATAACTTTCTCCTTCTCTTTTCATGCGTACCTTTAACTAACCCAAAAATAAAAGAAGAAACTTTTTTTTAATGTATGCACTTAATGCAGTCCAGCTGAGGAGAATGCAGACATGTAATTCTGTCAAGGACTGAATACCAACCAGAGCAGCCTCCTGGGACTGGAAGGTTTAAGAAAGCACGGTAGCCTCTTTCATCTCTATGACAAAAAGAATTTGTTGTTTTAAAAAGCGATGGTGGGCAAGCTGGCAAGGTGGGGGGTGGGAGGGGGGGGGATATCTATAACCTTTGTAATTCCCCTTCCATTACATGTGACATTCATTCATCAGCCAAGTACGTTTGGCAAGCCTTAGCCAACAAGCACCGTTCCAGTGACCGCTAACCTTGGTATGTCCTGACACTTATGATGAGTATCTGCAGGACACAGAAGGCAAGCAGGCTGCTATGTCAGGCTTTTATTGTGTACTGCAGAGGCTGGGGACAGTCAGCATAATCAAACAAATGACCCCTGAAGGGAATGTAACTCAGGGAGATGAGGAGAAGGAGACAGTCTTCAGCAAAATGACTTAAAACTGTTGTGATCTTGCCCCAAGGAATAAAAAAAATATATAAAGAGATGTGAAATAGTTAACAGACTGTGTTTTATTTTCCAAAAAGGAAGGTTGAAAGTCCTGCAGAGGGTCCTTAGTACCAATGAATTTGGCAATGAATTTCACTTTCTTCAAGGAGCCTCAGAAAGTATCATGTTAGAATGTGTTGGGGTTTTTTTTGCTGGGAAAATCTGTTAAATTAGCAAATTTGTTTTCAGATTTTGACAGACATATTTTTGTTAAAAAACATTTAAACATTTTTCAATTAATTCTATAAAATGAGACCAACAATTAAGGAACACAACTATATTAATTCATTTCAAGCCTTAACTTGAGCTCTGACATACTGTACCTTTGATTTTGACAAAAAAATTGCAGAGTTAAGTAAGGACTAAAAAGAGGTTTTGGTTTATTACTTAAGCTGCAGTTTTTTTTCATCAACACCACAAATCACATATCGGGAACATAAGTATAAGTTAGATCTTGCATTTGCTTATTCATTGTCAAGTTTGAAATAAACAGTCAGGTTTTATTTTGCATTTACCTTAATTTAATGAAACCTTCCCACATATTCATATCAGAAAAAATGTGCAATAGCCTTTGTTAAGGGAAAACAAATTGCTCTTAAAAGCAATAAATTCAATTCATTTTAATGGTTAATGGTTCAGTAATGATGGAGCCGAAGTGGACACAATCAATTCAAGTAGTTTAAGAGAAAGAGTGGCTGGTGGCTGAGAACAGGTTTTTCTCAGCCAGGATTTTAAAATAATTTGAAAAGAATTGTAAAGACTGTCCTGTCCTGTTACAGAAAGGTAATTTAATTTTTGAACAGTTTTCACGTTTCACATTACAACCCTCAGACTGCATTCTTTTGTGCATATACAGTATATACACACTGTGCCTTGCAAAAGTATTCACTCTCTTCTAATAATTTCCCATTGTGTACAAATGATGTGCACACATTTTAAATAAATGTTCTTAATGCAAATGTGAATGCTCCAACCGAACCCTTTTATGAGTGAAAGAAGTGAAATGACATCACAACAGAAATATGCTGATTGTGAAAGGTGACCCCTCTGAGTTAATATCTGGTCAAAACACCTTTGACAACAATGAGAGCAGTAAATAATTTTGGATAAAGTGCTTCCAAGTTTGCAAACTAGGATGGTACAGTTTTTGTCCATTTGTCTTTGCAAACTTGCTCGAGCTCTGTCAACTTAATTAAGAGTAGTGAATACTTTACAAGGCGCTGAACGTATATACATAGAGTATATACTAGTTATTTCTCTATTTAAACATTTAGTTAGATACTGTGAATTACAGTTAATTTGCATGAACTCCTGTGAGAGGTTGATGGAAATATACACGAATAATGTATGTGATGTAAGATGTCCTTTTCCTTCCTTAGACATCTTTGTAATGCTGAGAATGTACTTTTGTTTCTGTGAACCTGGTCCCTTATTATAAGGTACCATAGGATTCTACAGTATCAACAAAACAAACTTTTACAACAAAGGAATTGACATAGTGATTCTTAACTAGGTACTGCCTTGAAATGCTTTGAGATTACTACCCAGGTCTGGGGGGGAAGAATTATTGTTTTTTTCAACCACAGCAAACATTTTGATTCTTTTGAAAAAAAAGGCACGTCTGAAGCCATCTATGATGGTACTTCTTGAAATCATTACACTTCCATGTACCTTACTCAGAGACCATAGCTCAAAGAGCTAAGACCTACAGTTGTGATTTTTGCAGATCCTACAGTTAATCAGTGATGAGAAAAATGTCCCACTATTCTTTAGTCCACACATATACAGTCCTGGACTTTATTAAATTTATGAATATGAATGCTGTGGAGTCTTAATGAACCTTAAAGGACAACATACAGGTTACCAGTTACTGTGTTTTACTGTAGATAATGTTCCCTTTCTGTCTAAGGATAGTCATTGCTTAATAAATATTCACAACAGGGACAACAGATCTTTGAAGTTTTCCTATGTCTGTGTCATCCAGAATCACATCAGCATCACCGAAGTACACGTAGTACTTGGTTAACATGCTATACGGTGTCTTTCATCTATGTGTTTGAATGCCATAACCAAAAGCCAAATGCTGCATTTGCCTTAGTTGAAGACCTAATCCTTGAGTTTTGCTGTAGTGTGCACATGCCAATCCTGTCTTATACTCAAACTGATAAGGGTTAATAAAGTTAATATAGCTTGAGCGTGTTCTTTTTTAAACGTGTGTCTATGCACACTTAGTGAATTGCAGCAGAAAGAGTATTTCAGAGAATTGCCTTGCTTTGCTTGTGGGCCAGCCTCATGGTTCTTGGTAAAGCTAATCATCCATGTGGTGTTATAGAGAGAGGCTGTCAAGGGTACTAAAGAGATCAGAGGATCACTTTAAGCATGCCTGTGGATTCTGCCACTGTTAGCACACTGCTCCAGTTAAACTTCACAGGATATCTTTAGGTGAGCAGAAGTGAAAAAAAAAACAGTTTCAAAACCAATGATTTAAAGAGGAGGATGGCTTACCAGCTTGGCCTCATGCCTTAATGCCACTGATAGTGTGAACTTGATTGACTGCAGCCACCTGAAGCTAAGGAAGGACTGAGTACTTGTTCTAGGAATTTCTGATGCCAAGGTAGGGAGAGCACGATGGCTTATTTAAGAGGTGTTTTCTGAAAACGCTTGCAGTGATGTCACGTCAGCTCATGTTAGGTAACTGTAGTCAATAGCTTGTTACATCTGTCATTGCCAGGAGCTCTTGACTAAATGGACCAGACTCTTCAGACACCAGATAGAGGAATTGTGACAAGAGTACAGGAACCCCCAGGGCCCAGGGTTTGTAGTGAAGCCTCGAGTGCTTAGTCAGGCTAGTGGTACTCAATGGACTCGGAACACTCAGCAGTGACAACAGCGTGAGGCGCATGCTGGAATTCACAACCCTGTTCTGTACATATTAAGCTCCAGACCAACCGTGATTTTAATTCCATACTCTTGTGCAGAAGGCTGTAAATCCATTTTGTTATCATTGTTGTTAGTTCCGATACATTTTGAAGTATATAAAATAATAATATATACACTTCCTTTTCCACCATGTCACCAGTGGCAGTGGTAAAGAACCTGTAAGAGTAGGCGGATGAAATTATTAGATCTGACACAATGGACTTGCAACCTTACATTGAATTTTTCATTTCATATTTAATTAGTAAAATTTTATATATTTTTATATCCAATCATTAATAAATATTAATACATGCACCAAAATATGTTTTCTTATTTTAACTCAAATATCTAAAACATTTGATGATTCTCTTTGTACCTATCTAGATGGAAGAAGCACTGTTTAAGTATCTATATGACATATGGTTAAAAATAGACCAGTGATGGTATTTTCCATAGTTAAAATACTATGGTAAGTACATACTAAGTACATAATCTGTAGTTTTTTCAAAGCTCCTTTGTTTGTGGTTTTTAGGCATGGTGAGAGCATACTTCCTACTGTACCAGCCTTTACTGAGATTGTTTAGGTTCAGTTGATGTGTTAAATAAATTATTTATTAAACTACATATACTGTATTTGTTAGGTATTTTAGAAACAGACTGACATGAGTTCTGTTATTGCAGACTACACAAAAGTAAAAAATACAAGCATGGTTACAATGCAAGAATAAACATGTAAAGTTGAAATAGAAATCTAGGCTTGATTTGGCCTCCCACTAGCTATAATATTATACAGTGTTTGAAAAGTTTAAAAACTAGCCTATAATCTTTGTAGAACGCTTGTCAGAATTTCTCTTTGCAGGAACTATACAAAGTAAATTCCATGTTGATTTGGCAAGTAATTTTATTTCATATGTAATCTCTTAGCAAACAGTTTACATGCTCTTATATCGCCACATGCAGGAAAAGGGTAAGAATAAAACAAGCCAGAGTGTCTGTGTATCCCTCAACACACTTCTCCTGCGGGTGACAAAGTTTGATCCCTGCAGCCATATTTAGAATCCACTGGGGCTGATTGTTAAAGCAATTCCTACTGTCTACCAGGAGCTTATAGCAGCCTCCTTTGGTGAATCAAAGACTTGGGACTGAAATTTAAAACTTTTATTAATGTCATTGTCTCCTTGTGTATCAGCAGGTTCCGGAACGATTCCTGGAAGTGGCTCAGATCACGTTACGGGAGTTTTTCAATGCCATTGTTGCAGGCAAAGATGTTGATCCTTCCTGGAAGAAGGCCATATACAAGGTCATCTGCAAGCTGGACAGTGAAGTCCCTGAGATTTTCAAATCTCCCAATTGTCTGCAAGAGCTTCTGCATGAGTAAAGATTTCCATTGCTTTTTTTTTCTTTTGAATGTATGAAGTATGAAGTAGCATTCCTGTTTTGAAACCCCAGCTATTCTGGGATGACCTAGCTGTTCCTTCTTTTTTTCCCCTCTCTCTTTCTTTCACGAAAGACTTCGAACCCATTGGGTGTTTTGACTGTGTGACCCCACCTCCCTCTCCCCTCCCCTCAATAAGGGGATTACAGCTTTTTCCACAGCCTGATGGCTCACTGTACTGTTAACCTAATGTTCATTAATTTGGTCACTATGAGGGGTTCTGTTTCTTCAACAGAAGTTTGAAGTGTGTGAATGTTTTGCAATATAGGGCATTACATTATAGGTTTATAGATTTGATTATTATTATTTATTAATGTTGATGTTACTATTGCCTGCTGCAGTTGACACATATGGTAATTGTTTTGTCTTTTGACAACTTGACAAAAATATTATTTATTATTATCTGAATAATAGGGAAGTAGAAATTCTCCAGAATATAATATTGATTCATACTTTTTGGAATTGTGACAGCTTGCTTTGTCCAATATGACACTTATATTTGTTTTTTAATGTTATATATATTTTATAAGGCTTACATCTTCTCTTGATGTCTGTCTACTTCGGTAGGACAGACACCAGGGAAAACACGGGCCCTATTCCTTTTCCTTTTTCCTTGAAAGAGCTACCTTGCCGTAGCTAAGCAACATGGCCAATTTAACACTGAAGCTAGCCAGTTTTGCACAAAAAAGATGGATGTGTTCCCACCAAGACTACTATTGCTCATGATGGCTCATACTCACAAATACACACACCTCTATGCACAAGCACAAATATATTCTCTGTGTTTTAGCCAACTATCTGCTGTCAGTTGTTAGTTTCCTCCTCTTTTTCCTAAAAGAAATCCAGTTTTCCTTTTTTTTTTAATTCAGAAATTCTTAATTCCAGTACTTTCACACGTAGTCAATTGGTACAGTTTTAGAAATAATTTAATTTCTTTTAAAAGTGTATCTGAGTTAAATTCTAAATTACTGTTTACATTACTAGTAATAACATTAGAGCATATTCACTGTTTGGCTATTTAGAAATTCAAAGCCATTATTTTATTTTATGGATAATTGAAACATACTGTATATACATACAGTATACTTTTTAGTATTGACCAGCGGTTCCCAGCCTGTTATTTGCAAACCCCCGCTGATCTGAGAAGCTACTCCAGGAGGTCCAATGAAGAGAAAAATGTGATGTGGCATCAGATTTTAAGGCCAAAACTATCATCACTTGTTCCTATCCGCAAAATAGTACTGGCCATCTCATTAAGTTGCTCAGTATATTTACATTCACACATGCACTGCTATGCTTTGCATCTATATTTCTCAAGGTAAAAATTTCATCTGATTTAAGATATGTACATTATAGACTTTTTCATTTATGGGCTATTTTTGTCGTTTTCTGTGTATAACAGTGTAAAAAACAACTAATAGCACTTGGTGGTTAGTGAGATTTTTGAAAATTGCAAGAGGGTCAACACACTCAGAAAGGCTGGGAACTGCTGGCATTGACCATAATGACCCCCCAAGAAGCAGAACAATGATATGAACGTCTTGTATGAGAATTGTGGGTATTGAGCAGTCAGGAAAGCCTGAATTTTAAAATAATGCTATTTTCATGGTAAAAATTATACAAGAAAATAAATGTAAATTATTACCACGGCAAGTACTATCACTACTACTAAGAATAAGATTTAGAATCTTAACCAAGCCTAACTGTTGTAGAAAACAGTATTCCTTCTTTATGTCAGAACTCCAGTATGTATAGAAAGTGGTGAGTGCATATGAAGTTCTGTTTTGATTTAGATGTGCTTTTCACATCTTCTCAGACTAGTCCAGCTAGAAGACTTTTCCAGTATCTACACAATTTGAGCTGGATTGAAAACTACATTTCACTATTTATGTCAGTGAATAATAAAGAAAAAAAAAAGTATTGTAAAAAAGGCAAATGCAACAATGTTTTACTTGACTGTCTCAATTAGATTGTTTCTTGTTGTTTTGTTGTTGTCCTTAAACTCTGGATGACTTTGAAGAGTGAAAGCTGGCCATGTGATCTCCATAACCACTACAGTTTTGCATTCAGAAATACAGCTGATGAAATGAAATGCAGGGCCGCAATTATTGTCAGCACAATGCCTTAAAAACCTGCTGACTTTTAAATTAAACAGCACAATGCCTGTGATGCCCTGTCATTATTTCCAAGCCCTGGCAGTATCTGCAGACTTTGGACAATATAGACAATAACATGAATGAAGTGCCAACGTTTTCACTATGCATAAAAAACGAAGCTATCTTCTTAATCTTATCCTTCACTCCAGTGAGATGTTAAAATGATTTTGCATCATGGCTTTTTTTTTCTTTCACAGAACAGTGGACAAACTAAAACTCAATCTTTCACTTTTTTCAGTAAAAACAAATAATCGCAGTATATAGAGTGTACAACAACTAAACAAAGTGAACAGAAGAGCAGAAGAAGCTCCTAGTTCTAAACAAGATGCTTATTAATCTTTCAATGATAAATGCATGTCACCATAATGCTATCTAATTTAATTCATATTAGTATATCAAATAATCAAATCGTTCTTGCTGTTAATTCCATTTCATATAATGCTTCATGACATCTATGGCACAAAGCCTGTCAGTGCTATCTGGTTGTATTTTAGGTTTTGACATTTGTGCAGAAGCTTTATTAGCTGTAAAATATTAGGAGGCTGGGTAAGAGCAGAGTTCTCTTCTGAGGGTGTGAGGAACAGAAACAGTTTCAATTTTAAGGGAAATTAAACTTCACCTTACTTGTACCTGTGCATAAACTGGGCATTTGCTTCTTTCAGAGCCAAATTGCCTTTGTGCCTCTGTACATGGGATTTATCTGACTAAGTTGCTTAGCCTTGACTTCTGCTAAAATCATGATATAATGGCTAAAATGACAAGAGGCATAATAAATTCAAAGTTGCGAAAGAATAATTCTCATACAGTACTTAGCTTTCACGTTTCCTACAAGTATATTTATTTTAGCATCTGATCTTGGGGTAACAGCCTGTGCCTAGAACTTAAAAGCACCAGCGGAAGGATTTAAAATGCCTTCAAAAAGTCTTTATTTTTCCTTTTATTCCCCCAACAAGTTCAATTGTTCTTGTGCCTTCTGTGGCTAACAACTTCATTCAGTTTTTTTAATTACTACTACAACTGCAATAAACACAACATCAATGTTATGTCCTTTTTTTGCTTTTTAACATAATGGTGATAGCTATGCATATACTGTGTCTTTTTAAATAAAAAATACAAAAATACTATGGCAAAGAACCTTTTTGAAAAGTATAAAAATTTTTAGAAACCATTTGATAAAGCAAATTATTTTTCCTTAATTGTTTGAGCAGCATTCGAGTTTTGAAAATTCTTGTAGGAGCCACTTTTTTGTAACTGTTGTGCAAAAATTGTGTTTTCTTAGCCTATTGAAGAGTAGCATAGAAGCAATATTTATTGATATCTGTGTGTATATATACATATATACACGTGTGAAGTGATTAAAAGACTTTTTCCACTTTAGATTTAATGCTGTTTTCTATTTTAGATTTATTGCTTATTACGTTTTGTGAAGAGGTTTGATTTATTTGCATTTTTATATTGTATTGAACAAATGTGACATAGAAAGCAAACAAATGTCACATTTATTGGGAGTATGTAAAGTCATGCTAGGATGTATTTAAGAAGGGAACAGTTTTTCACCGGTGTTTTTGTTACTGCTATGGTTTGTGCCTCAAAGTATTAATTGCTATGGCTGAAATCTGTAGCCAACTGTGGGTAAAAAGGCAACAAGATGAATAAAAAGGGGATATTTTGAAACCACTACAACTTCATACATTTTCAGCTCCTGCTTTCAGACTACTGTACTCTCCTTACTCTTAGGGGATGTGGGCAAGGGAAATTAAGTGATGCAATTAGGTTTTTTCAGTGCTCACATATACTGTAGTAACACTTAAGGGGTTAATTCCATCCACATTGTTTGCCCAGTATAGCATAACTGTTTCTGTATACCGTAAAAACTGCACATGATAAAATGTAAGATTTATTAAAGAAAATGGAAATTCAATTGATTGACTGTGAGCACTGTGCCCCGTGTTGGCGGTTAATCTAATCTGCAACCTCGTAACGGGCATCAGTATCTCTCTCATGTCTTCACAGTCAACAAGCAAAAGAGCGATGTATCACAGGTCACATGAAAGCCACTTGCAACCTGCCACAACCTGTTTCTTGTTTCTGCACCTGGCCATCACTGAAACTGGGTACCTTCTGTGAAAGCTTTTTAATTTGTGTTGTCATTAAAAGTAGCCTCCCTTAGAACTGGAAGAAGCAATGAGACACTACTGTGTATTGCACTTAAACGATCAGCTGAGATCAACTCAATTGCATTCTTTCACAGAAATCTTGATTGACGTCGCATGCCTGCTGGTAATTAGATTTACAATTCTTTTACTAAACTGTATGTTTCTCTTGAAATCCTGGAATCTAGTGGTGAAGTGATCCAAGATGACTTTGCCTGAATCTAGATGATTTTTTAAAATGCTGTAAGTGATAATATTTCTTTGAGGGGAGGAAGAAGAAAAAAAGATCCAATGGTTTTGGATCAGTCAGTCCCCTTTTTGTGCTTTTACACAGTTGAAATTTTACAGCATTTGTGAAAAGAAAGATGGTATATACTTTGAAAAAAATACATGAAGGTTTTTAAAAAAGCATTAGGAGAAATGATTTCACTGACCCTGACTTGTATGTAAATATTAACAGAAAGTGACAAAACACTGCCTTTATATTATTTAGCAATATGTTGTAAATAGCATTATTACGCTTATTTTGTATTAAAGAACTCTTATTTGATTCTAGTGCAGTAATTCCAACTGACAATGTCACAATTTTATATATATAAATATATATATAATTTACACATACATAGCTAGCAATTTTGATTGTGGATTTTTGTTGTTGTCAATTTGTTATGAGGATTTTGCATAATTTATTGGTTTAATTTATCCTAATTTATTTGATGAAGGTGTACAATTTTTTATAACTATGGATGTACTGTAATATTAATTGGTAGAATCAAATCATAAGGAGCCCTTGCCGAATATTGAAAGAAAAAAAAAGTTCAAGTAGCCAATGGAATTTAAAAAATTCCTTGTTTCAAGAGAAGCTTGGCAGCTACTAAATTGAAGAAACAGAAAAAAATCTATATTGTTTTTGTTTGGAAGATTAAAAATTATTTTATTTTGTGTGTTTTAAGCTTTTTGTATACTCTGACTTTTACCTTTGCTTTGTACCACTTACAAGATACAGTAGTTCAATTGCCTTGTGTGCCTTCCATCTTCTCTGAACTGAATGTATGTGCAGTATATATGCAAGCTTGTGCAAAATAAAAACAAATTCCAAACTGCTGGTCTATTTTCTTTCTTTGTAGTTTTCACGTGTGAGACAAATTCCATAAGGTTAAGCAGAAGAACGGTTCTTTGAAAAGGCAAAATGTAAAGCTATTGCTTAATTTAACAATTTGTCATACTGTAACACGTTAACACTGAAATATCTCATGTAACCTATTAAGTTTAATTAAACTTTGAAAGATGCATACCATATAAAGAGTATGAACCGAAGTATTGTGACATTGGTAAAGACTTTCTGTACAGTACCTGGGTGGGAAAGTATTGCTCATTTTATTGTCTACATGTATATCTGTGTACATGCCTTAACCCAGTTATAAACTATGGGTACAATGCTTGAGGAGAAATCTCAAGTGCAATTGCCTGCTTAGTTTGGCATATAATGGTGGATTCATCCTCCAGAATGCAGATTTGCAAGGGGTATCTCTAGGATCATTATTAGAAATCTGTTCAAACTAAATATCTTTGTGGTTTCATTTGGTCTAAAAGCTGAATTTGAGAACGGTTTTGTCGAGGTACCCATCCACAGCTGACAGCTGAGCTTTGGAGGACCAAATGAGTTCAGTGCTGCTGAGTCTTTTCCGAGATGAAAAAGAAAAAGGTCGGCAGTATCGTCTGCGGCTGTTTTTGTTGTTCTTGTGGGAATCCACGGCTGAAAGTGTAATTTATAGAAAGATTCACGGAGACACTTTACCAACCAGACGGATCCTCAGTTAGTGCTGAACAGGAGGTGGGGTCATTCTTGCTCATAATGATTAGCTGCATTGGTTGTGCTTCCCCTTCTGTTTGATTTCATCGCAAGCCTTTGAAAAAGCACTTCTTAACAGCATAACAATAAAACAGCTGTGTTTGTGTTGGCTGATTCATTGTTGAAATTTTACCACCCCTCCCCCTCCCTAATGATATAACACTGGTATAATATTGCACCTTCTTTGCTTAACATTATTTTTTTGTTGTTGTTAAGGAAATGAAATTAGTGTTGGGTTTCATTTTGTGATACATTTTTTTTTAATTCAATGGAAACAAAAGCAAGCCGGAACTGTGAAAGGTAGTCACAAGAAAATAAAGCCTTCACAAGGTGTTGTAATTAACTTAAAAGAATTTTGACCAAATGTAACACTTATATCACAAGGCAGAACAAATGACTTCCTAGTTCAGAAAATGTATGGCAGATGCTAACCTTCTGTACCATGTCACTATATTGAAGGAGTATTAGATAAAACTAGCACCATGTAATTAAATGCGCTATCTCTCTATGTTTATGATAGGTATTTTACTATTAATGTCTCCATGCATGTGAGTTTCGCACAATATTTACAAACATCATTTTCAAAATTCCTTGTGTACACTGCTTCTGGATGATAAAGTAGCTTTCTATAATTACTGTATACTGAAAATGGAAATAATTCTATTGCGCTTGACCTTGCCAGTGTAAAGGAAAACAACGACCTCATCATCCTAAAGGCATTACATGCGCTTTGCAGATGCTGGTACATTTCTTTAAATGGAACTATCAGCATTTTGCAGCATTCTCATCATAAAGAAGCACACCTCTTTTTTAACACTGAACCAAAAAACATCTCAAAAGGACAAAGGACCTAAATTAATAGTGAAAGTCTAACGACCGACAAGACTTCCACCTCCCTTGCTTTAACTAAAAATCAAAAGTTCTTGAAGAGACGGCAACCTCTGGAACCACCTGCCTCCTACAATATCCTAAGCATGCATTCGACAGCTCCTTGCATATGGCTGAAACAGCATCTTTGTATTATACGAACAGTCTGCTTCATAATCAAATACCATCTGTCGCTACATCTGAACCTGTTTTTAACATCTGTGCTTTCTGGTCTTAACAAAGCTTTAAAAACCAATTCACAACTTTCACAGCTCACTGACTAGATGTATATATTTACTACCTTTAATACATCTTTCAGATACTTTTATGGAATTTTGTTCCCCAGGCTGGTAGCAGTTAGGGGGCTTCTGTTCCAATGATATTTTGTTCCTTAGGTACTAATTGGCCTGGCATGAGTAACCAAGTGCAAAGAAATGATACTTGCTCAGGCACTGAGGACAAAAAAAAAATCAAGCAAATAACTTTCCAGTGCCAGTACAGTCCTCCTTCTGCCAATGAGGAACCTGAAAGTTGATCATTCACTATAGCCCTATTACTCTAAATGACACTACAGATAGAATTGCAACCAAGGGGAGAATCAACTGTACGGCTGATATGCCACTGAAGTGTGTTTGAACAAATGGCAAAGTAAAATCACGAGTCCTCCAGAGGACAGATATGCTGTTACTTCACACATGCTTTAGAATTTTGAAGTGCAGTCTTACAGAACTTCTGGCCAATCCAGCACCAGATGTTAGCCAGTATGCTTGCACAGACATCAGTGGCAGGACATTAAAACTAAGATTGGCAAACTCTATGGCAGCACAACAGTTGGGAAGAGGCTGTTTAAACGTCCCCTTGTCCAATTTTTGAAAATGCATTATTTGATATTAAAAAAGGAGGGGGGGGCCATTACAGCATTACACACATTACATAGTGTCAAGCATCCCACTCCTTATGTTGCAGTTCAGTCTCTTACTGTTAGATGAACTGAAAGAGCAAGCTATTTCCATGAAATGCAAAAAAGATCTTATTCTACATAGAAGTGTTTTTAAAAATAAAAACCTGTAACACTTTGAAGGCCTAACTGACATGGTGTTCCATATTGTGCTGTGAACGTTCTTAGCACCCGGCAAAAAGCAGAAGACATTTACCTGAAAAAGACAACAATCACACAGAAAGTAATTATTTTAATCACCTGGTGTTTTGATGACAAACATCTAAAGGGAACCATTTAAAGAAACACAGTTGTAAATATGTTTTAATTATTAAATCTTTTCAATGTGGATTCATTGAATGCAGGCTCCTTGTAAAAGTTAAACACCATCTGTTTTTGTCCTTTTTTGTTACTTTGGACTATTAAATAGGGCATATGCATATTCTTTCTTGCTAGCTTTTAGAAGTAAAAAAGGTTTATGTGAAAAACAAATATGAGAAACTGTAAAAATGTCTGGTGTGTGTGTTATTCTCTGTTGATTTTGTAACAGTCAGTAGTGTATAAATTACAGGATTTGAGTACTTAGTGGATGAAAGTGGCTACAAACAGGCTGTTGATTCTTGCTATCCGTTTTAACTGAACTGCAGTCTACATTAAGATTTTCCGATGCAACTGTTAGCACACATTTATTATTTAACGCTGTGGTGGGCTGTCCAACAGCAATATGACTCTTGCAGATGGCACTTATTCATAATATCAGGGAGCTTCAGAACACATATTCCTTACAGCACAGATGTCTTTGAGTAAAATAACAATTCGTTACGTTACTTACACTTTTGTTTTCTTATTTTCCATAAAAACGTGTCATACATTAACAATGAAACAGATACAGGTCAAAGGTTTATTGCAGATGCTGTAACATGAAGTTTACTTTAAGGTTTAGTGTTGATCAAATCAGTAAGTAGCTTTTCACACCATTTGCCATTACAATCTCTCAGGTTTACTGGTGCTATTCCTCTTTACAAAGGCCATCACTTTAAAATGTATTCAAATGGACTGAAATTTCAATTCAAAATGCCCTGCAAAACTGGAGCTCAGTTATACAGGAAACCTCATTATACCTGCATATTTCACATTATTAACTTGTATTCTGTATTACCAATTAAATCCACAGTGCCCCAGTACATTTTAATTTACAGCTCTTCAGAAATGTGATTCTGTTATTCCATGGGTCTGTATTTTTCTTCATACAAAGCTTTTTATAAAATCAATATTGTCTATATAATGAATTTAATTACGCTGTTTAATAGCATATAAAGATGTTGATGCATCAAGTACTGTAGGTTTTACTGCAGAAATTAATGAATATGACCAGACAAAAACACTGTTCGGAGGTTAATTTGTTTTATGTATCCCAGCTTTCTGGAATACATTTTAAGTTCAATGAAAGTGTAGCAGAAATATATAAATGTAATATATGCAGCCAATGATGCTTTTAAACCATGGAAAGTATATAGACCACAGGGAATAATAGAAGCCCGAGTGCTGTACTTAATGACTCAGTGACATCTAGTGGCAGGATTATAACACTCTACTGTACTTGGATGGAAATGAAATAACCGCCTTGGTAGGGTGGTTAGACCACAAGCCCTTCTTTAATTAACAGCTGAGTAAGACCATTAAAAAGTCAATAGATCCTTTCAAGTCTGTATGTGCTTTTTGCTTGCCAACACTAGCACAGACCTTAAAAACGTAAAGGAAAATAGCCAGGAGCAGTTCCCTTTCAACTTGCGTCTGTTGTATTTCCAAGTCCTATAAATTTGCATTTTCAGTGCAGCACAGCAGGGTCTTGCACACCACACCTACTTGCATTTTATATTTTGCCTTACAGGTCTCATCTCTCAGCATTGATCTTTATGGAAGGATATCAATGTCATGTAGACATGTACTCTTAAACTGTAAAACCATGCTAATTCCACTTTTTTTAACAAGAAAGCACTCGGTGACAGATGATATACATAAAACAAAGATCTTTTTCCTGCTCCAAAACAATGTTGTGTTTTTTTGGAAACCTCTGTGATGTATAACATAAAGGTACCTAAAAACTTTTTATTGCTAGCTTAAGGACCTTCACTGAGGTAACAACTAATAATGGGATTTAAGAGCCTATACCTGTAATTCATGAAGGTATCAGAAAGTAAATGTCATTTGTTTTGTAGAGTCCTGGCAGTTTATTGAACTCATTAGGAATCATTGAGTTCATTATGGTAACTAATATTTGTCGTTGATAGGGCTGATCAACAATAGATCTACAGTAAAAGTCACAGATGAAAAATCCTCATGCTCACCTATAAGGCTTTACATGGCTTGGCACCTCAATACCTGTCTGAACTTTTATCACCCTACTCCCCACCTCACAACCTCTGCTCTTCAAATTCTGCCCT